GCCGGTAAACATGCCCCGCCCCAGGGTAAGCCGGGGCGGGTCCGAGGTGTTCCCTGGGGTACCCCGAGAGGCGGGGAGGGGGCGGGACCGAGGGCTGAGGCGGGGCGCAAGCGCCAGGTGCGGAGCTGTTGCACCTGTGACTGGGCTGGGTTTCCTTCCCTTGGCAATCGCGAACAGAGGCTAGAAATGGAAGGGGTTTCTGAGCAAGCTGATCAAAGCGCAGATTACGGGAAGCCCTCCAAGCTGGGTCAGAAGAATTGAAGATCAGAAAGAGTTCCCTACCCCCAGGAGCATCAGTGAGGGATGTCTGCAAATGATCCCAGCCCTTCTCTTTATCTGCCTCCTCTCCAGCTTTTCCCCCATTCCCCGAGGGGCATCCAGCCGTGTTGCCTGGAGAGGACCCGCCCCCCTACTCACCCTTGACCAGCCCGGACAGTGGAAGTGCCCCTATGATCACCTGCCGAGTCTGCCAGTCTCTCATCAACGTGGAAGGCAAGATGCATCAGCATGTAGTCAAATGTGGTGTCTGCAATGAAGCCACTGTGAGTTATACATATCTATGAAATGGGCCCTGTTTCCTGGATCCTCTTTCTGATCTCTTGATTCTAGACCCTGACCTTCAGACATTAGCCACGTGCTTTTGATGATATCCAGGTTTCAGTTCCAGGAGTCTCATACAGCCATTTCTCCAGAAGCCACTGACCAAAGCTAATGTTCACCATCCCTCACCTTCATACCTATCCTGCATATTTAAGTGTAGTTCTCATTCCTAAGTTTCACGGTATATTTCTTTTGTTTCTCCTTTCTAGCTACCTTATCTTTCTAATCTCTCCCCATAATGTGTTTTTAGAGGGAAATGGAGGGAATGGAATTCGAAGTTTGCTTGCTGATGTCGCTCTTATTCTCTAGCCAATCAAGAATGCACCCCCAGGGAAAAAATATGTTCGATGCCCTTGTAACTGTCTCCTCATCTGCAAAGTGACTTCCCAGCGGATTGCCTGCCCTCGGCCCTACTGGTAAGAGGCATAAGAAGGGGAAAGAGAATAAGTGGGAATATGGAAAGCCAAAAAATGATGAGTTTAGAGAATGTAAAGGTGAAAGAGTCTAGAAGGAGAAAATGCTATGGAGCATTGTGCCTCAGAAACTTTATAGCCATCGTCTTCATTTTTCAGCAAAGAAGTTGAGATGAATTAGGGTCCATTAGGAGAATGGAGAGCCTTGGGGACTGAGTGACTTCTCCTGAGGTCAGAGGACAATTAGGGACCTGAAATTTAAGCAGTGCCCTTTCTCAAGCATTCTCTGGGGCTAGAGTTGAGGAACAGAGTATCTTAAATATACAGAGAAGTTGAGGGACTTGACAGGCAGGGAGGCGGGGATGTGAAGGAAGGACAATGTGGGAATCCTTGTTTGTTTGTTTGAGTTGGAGTCTCACTGTTGCCCAAGCTGGAGTGCAGTGACACACTCACGGCCACTGCTGGGCTCAGGTGATCCTTCCTGCTCAGCCTCTTAAGTAGTGGGAACCACAGGAATGCACCACTATGGTCAGCTAACTTTTTGTTTATTTATTGTAGAAATGAGTTCTCGCCAAGTTTCCCAGGCTAGTCTCAAATCCGTGGGCTCAGGCAGTTCTCTCACCTTGGCCTCCCAAAGTACTGGGATTATAGGCATGAGCCACCACACCCGGCCCATCCTCAATTTTTAAAGCTTTTCAATCTTTTTTTTTTTTCTGTGCAGCAAAAGAATCATCAACCTGGGGCCTGTGCATCCAGGACCTCTGAGTCCAGAACCACAACCTGTGGGTGTCAGGGTTATCTGTGGACATTGCAAGAATACATTTCTGGTGAGGAGGAACATTGGGGAGCCCTTGGTTGGGGGTAACTAGGGGTAGTTATGAGTATATTTCTCTGAATAATGATTATGACTCCTGAAAGATCTGTCCTGTGTGAACACTGTTGTTCCACAACTTCACCACTCCAGCCCTGACTCTGACCTTGCCTCAAGGCTCTTATATAGGAGAATCCTGCTTCTAATACTATTAGTTTCTTTTCCTTTCTCCATAGTGGACAGAATTCACAGACCGTACCTTGGCACGTTGCCCTCACTGCAGGAAAGTGTAAGTGATTAGGAATTGAGCTGGTAATTGAGTGATATTTGGAGTAAAAACTACAGGATCATCACAAGCATCCATTCTTTGCCTCCCCACAGGTCATCTATTGGGCGCAGATACCCACGAAAGAGATGTATCTGCTGCTTCTTGCTTGGTTTGCTCTTGGCAGTCACTGCCACTGGCCTTGCTGTGAGTACCCTTCCCCTTTTAATTCTTCAGCCTTATCTCCATGGGCTTAAGATTTGGGACATCGCTACTAGGAAAAAGTCAAAGAAACTGAGAATGGGGGGAAGTTTGTTTTGTTTTAAGGTATGGTTGAGTTGAAGATGACTGATAAACCATCTTTATTACTAAAGGAGTAAAAAAATAGCCATCCTGTGGGTGAGGATAGGATAGTGGAGAAGTGGCTTGAGTTGCTATTTGGAAGCATGGCTCAGTTGTCTGTTATTAAGAAAAATGCAAGCCAGACTCGGTGGCTCAGCCTGTAATCCCGCGCCTTTGGGAGGCTAAGGTGAGTGGATTGCCTGAGCCCGCGGATTCGAGACCTGCCTGGGCAACTTAGCGAGACCTCATCTCTATAATAAATCAAAAATTAGCTGGGCGTGATAGCACGTGCCTGTAGTTCCAGCTATTTGGAAGGCTGAGGTGGAAGGATCGCTGGAGCCCAGCAGGTCGAGGCTGTGGTGGCCGGGAGCGTGCCACTGCACTCCAGCCTGGGCGACAGAGTGAGACTCCCAACTCAAAAAAAAAAAAAGCAAGCACATTAATGTGGCTACACGAAGACAGGGAACAGGGACTGAATTTCTGTGTTACTGTTCCTAGGGCTTCTAGGAAGTAGTGGGAGGTCATTAACCCCATGTTTCCTTTTCTTCTCCCTCCTTATCTTCATCAGTTTGGCACATGGAAGCATGCACGGCGATATGGAGGCATCTATGCAGCCTGGGCATTTGTCATCCTATTGGCTGTGCTGTGTTTGGGCCGGGCCCTCTATTGGGCCTGTATGAAGGTCAGCCACCCTGTCCAGAACTTTTCCTGAGCCTGATGACCCACAGACTGTGCCTGGCCCCTCCCTGGTGGGGACAGTGACACTACAAAGGGAGCTGGGGTAAAAGGCTCCCTGGGCTTCTATAAGGAAGCCAAGCAGCTGCCTTCCTTTTCCCTGGAAAGGTAGGAAGGAACCAGGCCCTTACTTAGGTTTGGAAGGGTAAGTAGGTAAGGCCACTCTGCTAATCACCTGCTTTCCTCCAAGGGTTGTGGTGTTTATGGTGAAGTAGGCAAAATGTTGCCCCTCAATCGGGGTACTGAAGATGGTTCTAGCCTTGTCCTTCCTGTATGCTCCCTGAGAACCATTCCTGTCCCTTACACATTCCAGGGCAGGGTGGGGGTGGGTAGCCCTGGGGGTTCCCCTCCCTCTTGTGCACCATTAGGACTTTGCTGCTGCTATTGCACTTCACCAGGGTTTGGCTCTGGCCTCAATACCCTCAGTCTCCTCTCCCCACATTCTGTGTCCTGTGGGGGTGGGGTTAGCCGCTGCTCTGTACAGAACCACAGGAACTGACGTGTATATAACTATTTAATGTGGGGTATGTTCCCCTATTCCTGTATTTCCCTTAATTCCTCCTTCCAACCTTTCTTACCCCCCAGTTGCAGTATTTAACTGGGTTGGGTAGGGTTGCTCTGTCTTGGGGGAAGTTAAGGATTCAACCTGTGCTTGTAAATAAATAAGGTCATGACTCTACCCTTTTCCAGTTGCTAACTTGTATGTATGAAAAGACAAGGAGGAAGGGAATTTGTAGCCCCACAAAGGGGTAAGACACAAAGACAGCAAGGCTGAAACTATGGCTTTTTATTTTCATGTGGACAAGTCAGTAGCCTTTGTTCAGTTTTTTTTTAAGGAGAAAGAAAAACCCCACAAAACAAAATCCTTGGGCTTAAAAGAAACCTAAGTCTGTCACAGGAGCCTAGAGGATTCATATTTTTCTAGATGAGAAATACAATGCAGATTTTTCTAAAGAGTATTTAAAGTAATGATAGTTTAGGGGGCTTATTTCCCAGACCCAAAGTGATTTGGGAGAGGTATCACAGTGCTAGGTATAGGGTGATAGGACAGTGGTCACTGCCCAGGGCCTTGGAACGAATCTTGCTGTCACACAACGCAGGTAACAGAGAGTGGGACAACAAAAAATAATCAAGGCGCCAACCAACATTCTTAGATCGAGCATTCATCATATACGTCCAAAAGGTGTAGGCATAGGCTGTGTTGGGGTACAGGTGCCGAAAGCTGTCAGCCAGTGGCACAGCCTGCAGCAGTTCCCCAAAGCCTTGGCGCTCCTGTGGCGTGAAGCCAGCATTCTTTTTGTTTCCCTTGGGGTTGCGAAGATCAATTTCTTCATGAGCCACATTGAGGTCTCCACACAGCACAACGGGCTTCCGGGAAGCCAAACCCTTCAGGAACTTGCGAAAGGCTTCATCCCAGCGCTGCCGGTACTCCAGGCGTACCAGACCACGGCCTGCATTAGGTACATAGGCTGTTACCAGCACAAACGTTTCATATTCAGCCACTATCACCCGGCCTTCTTGATCATGCTCATCCTCACCTACAGAAATTATGAAACAAACAGCATAAAGAACGATTAAAAAAAGAAAAACAATAAAGAGTTGGGGCAGGGATGGAGTATTAGCAATTGTGTTAGTAAGAGCTCAGACATTAGGGATCAATAGGGTCTCACCAATGCCATAAGAAACTTTGAGTGGGCACTGGCGGGAAAGTAGGCCCACACCACTGTACCCTTCCTTGTCCGAAGGAGCAGACCAGTACTGATGGGATAGTCCAGATAGCTCTTGAAGTTCAGGTGGTAGTTTGTTCTCTGAACACTTGGTCTCTTGGAGGCAGAGGATATCTGGGGCTTCTTCCTTTACCCACTGAGTGAAAAGAAAGGTGGAAAACGTTATCAATTCAGCAGAACATTTTCTGAACAATCTATGTGCCAAGTACTAGATTTATATAGGTTAGACACAGTCACTGTGCTTATTAATGAGTTCAACAGGCAAGCAGCACCATTTTTTTTTTTTTTTTTGAGTTGGAGTCTCACTTTTGTCGCCTAGGCTGGAGTGCAGTGGCACTCTCACGGCCACTACAGCCTCGACCTGCTGAGCTTAGGCGATCCTTCCACCTCAGCCTTCCAAGTAGCTGGAACTACAGATGCATGCCACCACGCTAGTTTTTGTGATTTATTGTAGAGACAAGGTCTCACCAAGTTGCCTAGGCTGGTCTTGAACCCCCGGGTGCAGGCAATCCTCTCGTCTCAGCCTCCCAAAGTGCTGGGATTACAGGCCAAGCACGATATTCAAACAATTAAAATTGCATAACTGACAACCAATAAAAGGGAAAAAGAAAGTCTTACGTGATATACTAAGGCTAGACATTGTCTATAGACAATGGATAGCCAGCTAAGATTTTTAAGCAGTAGTTAATGCAATGGAGCATAGGCTAGAGAAAAAAAATGGAGGAAATCCAGTAAAGAGGTTTTTGCAACTATCCGAGGACATTAAACAAGACAGTGATAATGGAACTGAAGAAATAGACATTTAGGAAATACAACTGGCAAGACTTGGGACAGCCCCACTTGCACCTTCCCACAAGAAAACTACAGGCAGAAGAAGAAAAGTTACATCCTTAAGACTAAAAGGCAAAAAGGTGATTAAACCGCAAGACCACTCAATTCGAAATAAAGTCTCTTTCCCCTCTTTGAATCATACTCACATCTAATCCTTTCTTCTTAATCCAGGCTCGAAGGCCATCCACATTCCAAGAGCAGATCTTAAGTGTGGCAGTTTTGCCACTGGGTGAGGTTTTCTTATCTGGGGGATCCTCATACAGGACTGGGCCCTCTCCTGCTGCCTCTTTGTCGTTTTTCTTTGCTCCCATCTTACTCTTCTTGGCCTCTGGCTCTATAAAATGAGTCACATACTGTGATAAAAGTTGGCGGTTTCCAACTTCGATCCAGTGTTAACTACAGACCCAAGTCTGCAGTTACCACGTTTTTTATAAACTCCTGCAAAAATATGAGTTGGCCCCTACCTTTCATCCTGGGAATTAGAAACACCCCCACTGCAGCATGTAGGGAGGGAACTCATTTAATTCTCTTACCCGTCTTAGGTTCTTCCCCGTCTTCTGCCACGGCTCCCTTTTTCCCGCGCTTAGGCATCCCTGTAACGAAGGCCCTCCAGCACCTGTACCACGTTGCCCACCGAAACAGTATTTTCTTTTTTTTTTTTCTTTTTTTAAACCGTGTGACCTGCAGACGCAAAGAAATCGTGAAGCCAGCTAAGGCTGGTGAGAAGACTCTTCCCTTGGGCATCCCCTCCCCAGGTCCCGCCTTCCAAACCATATTATCTCTGAATTCTTTCCCCGCCTCCGTGCATCATAGATTCTTCAGCCCCTCACCCACATAACTAGATCGTGTCGTAGTGCCTTGCGCGAGATCTGCCCTCCCGCCAACTGAGGACCTTAATTAATCCCAACTCAGGCAGGCCGGTCACGCCGCCAACGAAGGCCTTCTCATGAGCAAAACAGCAACCCGGTATCTGCCGGGCTCCGGCCCCAACCTGGCTCCTCCTTACCCGAGCACAAAGAGTAGAGCACACCGTTCCCCCACGTGGGTAGACGGCGTGGTCACGTGATCGGAGATGCGCGTCTCGTGGCCTAAGAAAGCGGATGATTGGGCTGTCTGGTACCACGTGACAGGAAAGCTTGGGCTTTCCCCACCTTCTTTAACTCTCCACTGGACTTTAGGCCCCAGTCTTCCATTTTGGGGCTGTTTATGGTTTTGCCAGATGCACTGCTAGTTCTGCAACTTTGACCGAACCTCCTAAAGCTGTGCAGGAGGGAGAAAAATCGGTGAAGAAGACTGGGCTGGACCACAGAAGAGAGGTGGGGAAACAGATAGAACTGTAAGGCGCAGAGACTGGCTCACTCTCCCTGGCAGTTAGGAAGCCTGGTAGATCCCTGAAGGGGTCTTGACGAGTCGCCACTCGCGGGAGTTCTGCGGTGTCTGTCCCTGTGGAATTTGCCGTCACCCTCAGGCTCGCCCTCTTCCTCTGCGCCCCGGAATCTGCGCTGTAGCACATTCTAGTGAGGGCCTTCACACCGCCATAGGTTGTTAGGAGTCCTGCCAGCGTTTTCTCCCGGGCTCCGCCATGCCGGCGGTGCTGGGTTTTGAAGGCAGCGCCAACAAGATTGGCGTGGGAGTGGTGCGGGATGGCAAGGTGTTGGCGAACCCGCGGCGGACTTACGTCACGCCCCCGGGCACAGGTGAGTGAGTAGGGGACTTAAAGTTCGCGCTTCCCAGCACCGCGGTCACCTTCCATCTTCTGAACACTAGTTCAATAGAACCTGGGCTCATTGCTCCCTTTAGCAGCTTTAGGTCCGAGTTTCATTGAAATTACGTGGCAATTTAGAAGAGTCATAAAAGATTGGACGTGGATCTTTGAAGTTAGTTCAGCTTATATTGCGCGCATTTTATGTGGTAAGCATACAAATATGGCTGTTTAAGAGCCAGCTGTGGAGTCGTCGATTGCCGGTTGCATTTGGACGCTGGGGATACAAGGATGGCCAGTGCTTTGAAAGGCTTGTGTTCTAAATTGGACAAACTACAGATAGTTAAAATGCTGTAATTGTTAATATGTTAAATACAGCGTTGTCATCATGGATAGGGTTCTGTAGGGTCACAGAGAAAGAAGATCACTAAGGGTATAAACGGATATAAACAGGCTATGAAGAGATCTTTACAGCATAAGTGGTAGTTATAATAGAGATGGAATCGAAATATTCTAGAATGAGAAGGAGAGGGTGGAAAGATTCCCAGCTTAGATTTCAGACAGAATTAGCTGGCTTTGCAGTATTCATAGTCAGTATTTATGTTTTGAATATCTGTTTTGCTCCTAAAATGGGAATAATAATAGCTATAATTGGGTGTTGAGGACTAAATGAAATTATCAGACATGTTACAACTTGTAATTAATATTACGTATAAGCTATTATGTCTTGCTTAGTCTCCCCTAAAACACTTGCACCCAGGAGAGAGCAACTGGCTTGCATGTACCTGAAAAACCTCCCTGAACGGGTGATGTTGTGACAGGTCCTTTATTATATATAATAAAGGTATTGGTGAGAGAGAGAGAATATATATGTATGTATGTATGAGAGAGGACACCCCAGAAAACCAGAATCTATTTATACTTATTTATACATGTTTAAACTTCAGTCACCTTCAAAGTATTGTGTTTGATACACTGCTCCTATCAAGATTTTTTTCCCACTGTTCAAAACGGTTTTTGAACTTGTCAATTTTGATGCCTTTTAGTTCTGCTGCAATTTTTTGTTTCACCTCTTCCACATCAGCAAAATGTTCCCCTTTGCTTTTATCGTGGGGGTTGGGAAGTCAGTCAGGGTGAGATCAGGTGAATAAAGAGGGTGACACAGGGGTCATGCCATTTTTGGTCCAGAACTATTGAACACTCAGCAAGGTGTGGGCAGGTGCACTCATAAATGGTCAAACGCATTGAAAGAATCTTAAAAAATTATCTGAAGCCAAATGCAGCTTCTCACAACAATGCTGGCTGGTTCATTGTTGCTGATGGGTTTCTAGAACACTTATCTATCAGAGAAAACCTGTATTACAAGGGGTCCGCTCTCCAAAAGATAATTTTGGTTTTTTTTGGAGGGGGGGTCCCCAACCTCATATGTATGTTTAGCATTTACTCTTCTAGGCACTTGGGCACAAGGAATACGAAGATAAATAGCCAATGGTTTGAGATACTTGTGGTTAAACTGGGCAAACTACAGGTAATTATAATAATATAGTTGTTGATGCGTTAAATATAAGTGTCACCATGTGTAGATGTCATCACATAGGGTTCTATAGGGTTACAGAGAATACTAAAGGATATGAGGTAGGTATCACCTAAGTTGAGTCCTGAAAGCTGAATAGGAGTTGGGTATGAAAAAAAGGGCATTTCTGGAAGCTGAACACCCTCAATAGAGGCTGGAAAGAGTGTGTCTGAAAACCTGGAAGATAAGCTGCTTGAAAAGAGTCCTGGCCAATTGTGGTGGCTCACGCCTATAATCCCAGCACTTTGGGAGGCTGAGGTGAGAGAATTGCCTGAGCCCACAGGTTCGAGACCAGCCTGGGCAACTTGGCGAGATCTCATCTCTACAATAAATCAAAAAATTAGCCGGGCATGGTGGTACACGCCTGTAGTCCCAGTTACTTGGAAGGCTGAGGTGGAAGGATCACCTGTGTCCAGCAGGTCAAGGCTGCAGTGGCTGTGCACATGCCACTGCACTCCAGCCTGGGTGACAGAGTGAGACTCCAACTCAAAAAAAGGAAAAAAAAAGAAGAGTAAGGACTCTTTGTCAATTACTAAAACTCCTGTTGCTTTTAGGTTTTTTTGACATCTACCTACAGAAAAACCCAATGATCTCTGACCTGTGTCCATTTTCTAGGATTTCTTCCAGGTGATACTGCCAGACATCACCGAGCTGTTATCCTAGACCTGCTCCAGGAGGCATTGACAGAGGCTGGATTAACCTCCCAGGATATCGATTGCATTGCCTACACCAAGGGTATGGCTGGGAGAGTAGTCAGCAGTGGAGAAATATACCTAGAACCAGGCTAGGTCAAAATAACCTAAACCTCACTCTGCCACCACCACTACCCTTACCCCACCTTTCACATCCTCTACTTCTACTACCTGTTTTTTTCTAATCTCTAGTATTAATAAATCCCATTTTTATCTTCTAGGCCCTGGCATGGGTGCCCCACTGGCTTCTGTGGCTGTTGTGGCCCGTACTGTGGCCCAACTATGGAATAAGCCATTGCTGGGTGTGAACCACTGTATTGGCCACATTGAGATGGGCCGCCTCATCACTGGAGCCACCAGCCCAACTGTGTTGTATGTCAGTGGAGGAAATACTCAGGTATTTATAGTATTCTACCCTATTCCATCTGAATTTTGAGGCACTGAGCCAGCAACTTCCTTGTTATACCGAGTTGTGGAAATTGCAAGAACAAAGCTGGATCATCTGAACCTATAATATTGTATACCAGAGAACCCACAACAGAGTTTGTAGCATTGCAAGTTTTGGGAGGACAGTTAGAGCATTTGATGATTTTGGGGGGGAGGGGTAGGTGGTCAGAGTCTCATCTGTCGCCCAGGCTTGGAGTGCAGTGGCACAACTACTGCAGCCGCAACCTGCTGGGCTCAGGTGATCCTTTTCACTTCAGCCTTTCAAGTGACTGGAACTATAGGCATGTACCACCACACCTGGCCAATTTTTTTTTTTTTTTTTTTGAGTTGGAGTCTCACTCTGTCACCTAGACTGGAGTGCAGTGGCTACTTCCGGCCACCGCAGCCTCAACCTGCTGGGCTCCGGCGATCCTTCCGCCTCAGCCTTCCAAGTAGCCGGAATTACAGGCATGCGCTACCACACCTGGCTGATTTTTTGATTTATTGTAGAGATGAGGTCTCTCTGCCCAGGCAGATCTTGAACCCACGGGCTCAGGCAATCCACTCACCTCAGCCTCCCAAAGGCACGGGATTACAGGCTGAGCAACCAAGCCCGGCTAATTTTTTTTTTTTTAATTGTAAAGTTGCAGTCTTACCATGTTGCCTAGGCTGCACCATGTTGCCCAGGCTGCTCTCGATCTCCTGGGCACAAGCAGGCCTCCCAAAGTGCTGGAGCTACAGGTGTGAGCCACCTTTCTTGGCCTAGATGACTTTTATATATATGATTATAAAGATTCGAATTTCCAATTTTGAAAAGGAAAGAATTGTAAGGATTAATGCCTTGGAAATAATGATAGGTGTTATATTATTTTGAAGCTTATTTTTTCTATAAATTTTAGCAGTTTTGGTTTTACCAAGGGGCATTACCTGACTTATATTTTTAGAATAACTATATGTTTTGTTTGTACATTTCTAGGGATAAATATTTAGACTTTGTTATCCTCAGAGTATAGAAATATAAATAATGTTGCCAGGCACAATGGCTCATGCCTATAATCCCAGCACTTTGGGAGGCTGAGGTGAGAGGATTGCCTGAGCCCATGGGTTTGAGATCCGCCTGGGAAACTTGGTGAGACCTCATCTCTACAGTAAATAAAAAAATTAACTGGGCATGGTGTTATGTGCCTGTAGTTCCAGCTACTTGGAAGGCTGAAATGGAAGGCCTGAGCCCAGCCAGTCAAGGCTGTGGTGGCGGTGAGCATGCCACTGCACTCCAGCCTGGGTGACAGAGTGAGATTCCAACTCAAAAAAATATGTATATATAAATAACTTTTCAAAATACTTTATAAATGGTAGAAGATATTTTGAATTTATAGGTGAAGCTAAAGTTGTTTGGGATACCTTTCAAAGTTGGGAATAGATTCCTTTACCTCGGGACAGCTGATAGGGTTATTATTAGACATGGTTCGGCATTGTCCCCAGCTCATTGAAAGGCTTGTGTTCTAAAACTTCATTCTGTAAAATGCTAAAGATGAGGCACATATTTCTGTGACATGGGCACTTTAGTGGACAGAGGGCAAATAGCTTGTTGAGCTCTGAAGAATGACATACAAAGGTAGGGACTTGAGTTATAGAAAGTAGCAATGGAGGCTATAAGAGTTTATGCAGAGAAGCAGTTTTCTCCTCTTTCCTTCTGATGTTTGCTTAGGAATAAAAAACAGATGATGATTGGGTGGAGAGGAATGGATAACAGAAATAGAAAGGCAGGTTGGATAACCCAGAGAAACCCCATCTCTGCAAAAACAAAACAAAACAAAAACAAAGCTAGGTGTAGTAGAGTGTGCTTATAGTCCCCGCTATTCAGTAGGTTGAAGTAAGAGGATTGTTTCAGCCCAGGAGTTCAAGGCTGCAGTGACCTATGTTCACATCAACTGTATTCAAGCATGGATGACAGAGCAAGATGGAGTCTCAAAAAAAAAAAAAATCAGGCAGAATTTTGCCTTCCTCTTTTTATCTCCAGCTTTTTTTTTTCCTTGAAAGCAGGATTTATTGAGAAGATAAGAAAAGCTCCCACAGCGGGAGGGGACCTGAGGGGGTTGCCCTGTCACCAGCTTTTTGACAGTAGAGATCTACATTAGAAAGGAAGGAAATCCCTAACAGCACTAGGAAGGGAAGGGGACTTCTTATGGTCCCTAGGAATCCCTCAATGTCAGAAGTATGGAGTATATGTGTCAGTAAGTGATAAAAGTTGGTCACATATGAAGCTTAAGTGGATTGTCATTGCTGAGTTGGGTGGACCATTAATCTTATCCCATATGCGATTTTTTTTTTTTTTTAGTTCCTCATTTCTGCCTTTTCTCTTGTTTCCAGATAACACTGCCTCATAGGATTATCTTTAAGGACTCTTGTTCTCTGCCTCCGAGCAGGAAAGATTGTTCCTTAGTTCACACTGTCAAGATTGCTTCTAAGGGATATAGTAGGAACCTCTAAACTAGAAAATTGTGTTTGAGATGACAATTTGCTTCTTCCCTGACCTAGACTATCCTTTTTTTTTGTTGGAGTTGGAGTCTCACTGTGTCACCCAGGCTAGAGTGCAGTGGCACAGTCATGGTCACCACACCCTCGACTTGCTGGGATCAGGTGATCCTTCTGCCTCAGCCTTCCAAATAGCTGGAACTACAAGCACGTACCACCATCCTGGCTAATTTTTTTTTTTTTTTTTAATTGTAGAGATGAGGTCTCACCAAGGCGCTCAGGATGGTCTCAGACCCGTGAGCTCAGGCAGTCCTTTCACCTCAGCCTCCCAAATGCTGGGATTATAGGTGTGAGCCACTGCGCCTGGCCTATCTTTCATAGATTAGGAATCTGCTCTGGGAACCTTCAGGGTACGTGGATTTGTTCTCAAGTAAGACATATTAAAATATTACTCATTCACGATTTGGGAAAGCACTTTTTTTTCCATTTCTTACTAGAGGTTCTAGTGACGATATTGATCCTCTGCTATGTTCTTCCCCAAAGCCAAATAATCCTCTTTACAGACTTGAGGTTTCATGGACATCCTCATCACCCTTAGGTGATTGCATACTCAGAACATCGTTACCGCATCTTTGGGGAAACCATTGATATTGCTGTGGGTAATTGTCTGGATCGTTTTGCTCGTGTGCTGAAGGTAAGCCATTGATCAGTGCTGCAGACAACATAAGGTGTGGGGGAATTTCTGGAAAGCTATGGAAATGGAGGGAGGAAATAGTAAATGAGATTCTTATGCTTTCTGCATATCTGATGTTATCCTTATTTTTCTTCTGCTAGATTTCCAATGATCCAAGTCCAGGCTACAACATTGAACAGATGGCAAAGCGGTAGGGAACATAAGGTGGAAGGAGGATGGCTGCTGGGGTTTTGAGGATTTCCCCATATATGATATCTATTAAGGTTCAGGAGAGGATTTGGAGGGTGAGCAGCCTGCTGACTGTAGGCTCAGTGCCTCATATACTTATTCCCACTTAGAGGCAAGAAACTAGTTGAGCTGCCATACACTGTAAAGGGGATGGATGTATCATTCTCAGGGATCCTGTCTTTCATTGAGGTGAGTGTGAGCAAGGTGAAGAGATGGGGGTGGTTTCATGCATTTTTAATGAAACATGTCTAATTTGCTCACAGTTGTATTTCCTGCATAAAGCACAGTAAGAGCCCATGTCAGATGCCAAATAAATTAACTTAGTGGTTATTTATTGAATGTCTTTTGTGTGCCAGGCACTGTTCAGGCAATAGGGATGCAGTATGGACCAAAACAAAAATCTTTGCCTATGTGGAGCCTAGATTGTAATGGGAGAAGACAGATACACCAAAAAAAAAAAAAAAGAGGAAAATAAAATATAAAGTGTCATCAGGTGTGGTGCAGCGGTTTATGCCTATAATTCTAGCTATTTGGGAGGCTAGGATGGATGGCTTGAGGCCAGGAATTCAAGACCAGCAGGGGCAACATAATGAGATTTTTGTCTATATTTAAATATATATACACATGTATATGTATATCTGCACATACATATATAAATAAAGTGTTTGATGATACATGCTATAGAGAAAAGTTAAATGAGGTAAATAGGGGTGGAAGGTTCCAGGACAGTTATTTGGAGAAAAATTAAATGAGATAAGTAAGGAGCTGGATGCAGTCACTCAAGTCTATAATCCCAGCACTTTGGGAGGCGAAGGCGAGATTTCCTGAGCTCAAGCGTTCAAGACCAGCCTGAGCAACATGGAGAAACTTCATCTCTACAGTAAATTAAAAAAAAAAAAATTAGCCAGGCATGGTGGCATATGCCTGTGGTTCCAAGCTACTTGGAAGGCTGAGGCAGAAGGATCATTGAGCCCAGTAGGTCAAGGCTGCGGTGGCCATGAGCATGCTAATGCACTCCAGCCTGGGCAACAGAGTGAGACTCCAACTCAAAAAAAAAAAAAATTAGGTAAATAAGGAGTGGAAGGTGCCAGGACAGTTATTCGAGAAAGATTTATTGCATCTTAAATGAATGCTGCCCATTCAGTATCTTTTTTTCTTTTTCTTTTTTTTTTTTAGTCAGGGTCTCCCTTTGTTGCCCAAGCTAGAGTGCAGTGACACAATCATGGCTCACTGCAGCCTCAACTTCCTGGGCTGAGGTGAGCCTTCCACCTCAGCCTCTCCAGGAGCTGGGACTACAGGTGTGCACCATCACACCCAGCTATTTTTTTTCTTTTCTTTTTCTTTTTTTTGTAGTGATGAGGTCTCTCTATGTTGCCTAGGCTGGTCTAGAACTCCTAGGTTCAAGCAGTCATCCTGCCTAAGCCTTCCAAAGTACTGGGATTTCAGGTGTGAGCCACCATGCCCAGCTTTCATTCTATAATTTGATGCCAGTGAAGGGAAATGTGTTGTGCAAGGTGCGCTAGTAACTTGAATTTTGGTGAAACAGTGATCCTCCAAGTGCATTAATTTTTGCTCTCATGTAATCCCCAAATCGCTATTTGTTGTTGTGTTTATTTTTCCCTTGTAGGATGTAGCCCAGCGGATGCTGGCCACAGGCGAGTGTACTCCTGAGGATCTGTGTTTCTCCCTGCAGGTAATGAAGTAAAGACCTGTAACAGAAATTTGGGACTGGAGGAGCTGTTATATAATAGAGCAGAACTAAACTGGGATGCTCCTCTGATATTTTCACTATATCTGTCCTCCACAGGAAACTGTGTTTGCAATGCTGGTAGAGATCACAGAACGAGCCATGGCGCATTGTGGCTCCCAAGAGGCCCTCATTGTGGGAGGTGTGGGGTGTATGTATCATTGAACAGTGTTCTTCCTTCCTCTTCTTGGCATTGTGCATCTTCCTCTTGGCGGTCTTAATCACCAAGGGTTTGGGAAAGTTACTAGTTTCATTTCTTGTTCTGTGTGCTTCCCAATCCTTGGCCCCAGTCCCCTGATTCATTGTCCTTAATAAGTGCATGTGACATGTACTTCTGGACCATTGAGAGATGGCTAGAGCTAACCCTGTCCCCTACCTCTTCATAGGTAATATAAGACTACAGGAGATGATGGCAACAATGTGCCAGGAACGCGGAGCCCAGCTTTTTGCCACAGATGAGAGGTAAAGGTCTTGTCCCTTCCTTGATTTATTTTTTACTTCTCCCATGTTGTGATTTTCTACCTAGAGATCCTAAATTTCATATCTCTTTTCCATCCCAGATTCTGCATTGACAATGGAGCCATGATAGCCCAGGCTGGCTGGGAGATGTTTCAGGCTGGACACAGGACCCCCCTCAGTGATTCTGGGATTACACAGAGGTGGGTGATTTACTCCTTGGAGGGGGTAAAAAGGATTATGTGGGAGGTAGGCAAAAATCAGGGAAGAGAAGCCAGGAAAATGAGGGCAGTGGAGGATGGAAGATGCTACGTTTTTTCTATTTTTCCACAGGTATCGGACAGATGAAGTAGAGGTAACCTGGAGGGACTAATAAGAAAACAGGATCAAGACAGATAGTTCTCTAAGTGGAGCCCAAAGGACCCTGTGCCTCAATCTATCCTGATGTGAGAGTCCTAACAGAGCTATAGACTACAAGCAAGGCTTGGGGTCCCTTATAGAACTCCAAGATGATTCAGCAATAAAATATTTTTGGTTTTGTACATCGGTAATCAGATTGTGTTGTTCAGAACCAATATAGAGTTGACGCTGGGTGTGTTTCTTGTTAATAGAATGAATGGATAAGGAGGGCAGGGGTCAGAGCAGTACCCTGGCTGACCGAGCAGGTAGTCTTGGAACCAAGAATGAGGGGGAATCATAGACGCTATCCTAACATCCCCTTCACAATAGTGTTATCGTAACTAATGTTTTAGTAGCAGGCCCTGTGCTAACTGCTTTACATTCATCATCTCATTTAAATTCTCTGAACTTAAATTCAGGATTTATAATGGACAGACACGGACTTCGCAGCAACTTGGATGGATTTAGAGTCTATCATACTCAGTGATCTATCACAGAAACAGAACAGAGTACCATATGTTCTCACTCATAGGCAGACCTTGAACAATTATCGTAATACTCTAAGAAAGGGATTGGCAGTAGTGGAAACTGCCAGGGGATGGGAGGTGGGATTGGCAGTTGAGGGAAACTGCCAGGGGAGGGAGGGGCACACCTCATCAACAATAGTACCTACCCAAGAACAGGGTTCGTTAAGATGGCAGAGCCCGGTAATTGCATAAAACTTAAAACTTTATTATCAGAGGTTCAACTCCTCTTCTTAACAACATGTTTCTAATTAATCTACTAATCCTAATTATTCCAGTTCTCCTAGCCATAGCCTTCCTAACATTAGCAGAACGCAAAGTACTAGGATATATGCAACTCCGAAAAGGCCCTAACATCATTGGGCCCTATGGTCTCCTCCAACACTTTGCAGATGCAATAAAACTATTTATCAAAGAACCCCTCCACCCACTTACATCAACATCTCTACTCTACATCATTGCACCAACTCTTGCTTTATCCCTAGCTCTCATTATATGAATTCCCATACCCATACCACACCCTCTCCTCAACATAAACCTAAGCATCCTATTTATTCTAGCAACATCCAGTCTAGCCGTATACTCTATTCTCTGATCAGGCTGAGCATCAAACTCTAAATACGCACTAATTGGTGCACTCCAAGCAGTAGCCCAAACAATCTCCTATGAAGTAACCCTCGCAATTATTCTAGCAATTCTCCTAATAAACGGATCCTTCACACTAATAACACTAATTACAACTCAAGAATACTCTTGACTATTTCTCCCCTCCTGACCACTAGCAATAATATGATTTATCTCAATACTAGCCGAAACAAATCGAGCACCCTTTGATCTCACAGAGGGCGAATCAGAGTTAGTCTCAGGATTCAATGTTGAATATGCTGCAGGACCATTTGCCCTATTCTTCATAGCAGAATACACTAACATTATTATAATAAATGCTCTAACTACCATCATCTTTCTAGGCGCACTACATAACATCTTCACACCCGAAATATTTACAATCAACTTCATAGCAAAAACACTTATCCTCACCTCACTTTTTCTATGAGTCCGAGCCTCATATCCACGATTTCAATACGATCAACTAATAAAAAACTTTCATCAACTAATACACCTTCTATGAAAAAACTTTCTTCCACTCACACTAGCCTTTTGTATATGATACATCTCAATACACATCCTAATATGCAGTATTCCACCCCATCTATAAGACAAGAAATATGTCTGACAAAAGAGTTACTTTGATAGAGTAAATAATAGAGGTTTAAATCCTCTTATTTCTAGAATCACAGGAATTGAACCTATACTTAAGAATTCAAAATTCTTCGTGCTACCTAATTACACAATATTCTATAGTAAGGTCAGCTAAATAAGCTATCGGGCCCATACCCCGAAAATGTTGGTTCATATCCTTCCCGTACTAATGAAACCCCTAACCTTATCCTCCATTTTCCTTACCTTATTTTCAGGTACTATAATCACTATATTCAGCTCACACTGACTACTAATTTGAATCGGACTAGAAATAAGTATATTGGCTATCACACCAATCCTAATTGAAAAAGCCAACCCCCGCTCAACCGAAGCAGCTACTAAATACTTTCTGATCCAAGCTACAGCTTCCATGCTTGTAATAATAGCCGTAATTACAAATACAAGTTATTCCGGGCAATGAACTGCTATAAACAAATTCAATCAAGCATCCTCAATAATAATCTTAATTGCCTTAATAATAAAACTAGGTCTCTCACCCTTTCACTTCTGAGTTCCTGAAGTCACACAAGGAGTATCACTAACATCCGGAATATTACTCCTCACATGACAAAAATTAGCTCCTATCTCAATCCTATATCAAATTAACATAACCCTAGACCTAACACTAATGACCTTAATTGCCCTAGCCTCTATCGCATTGGGCGGCTGAGGAGGACTAAACCAAACACAACTTCGAAAAATCCTAGCTTACTCTTCTATTGCCCACATAGGATGAATAATCGCGATTCTAAAATATAACTCTACTATAATACTCCTTAATCTCCTTATTTACATTATCCTAACAATTACACTATTTTCTATATTGATCCTATTTTCAAGCACTACTATCCTAACAATATCCAACTCATGAAACAAGATTCCATTAGCATCATCTATGATACCCCTAATTCTGCTATCCCTAGGAGGGCTACCTCCACTTACAGGTTTCCTCCCTAAATGAGCAATTATTCAAGAACTCATAAAAAATAATAATACTCTTATCCCAATATTAATAGCCATTACAGCCTTACTTAACCTATACTTCTACATACGACTAACCTACTCAACAACCCTTACCATATTCCCAGTCAACAATGTTACAAAGATAAAATGACAATTTGAAAACACAAAACTAATACTTATTGTACCCACTCTAACAACCTTATCCACCCTACTTTTACCCATATCTCCTATACTCCTACAACTAGAGTAGGAATTTAGGTTAACTAGACCAGAGAGCCTTCAAAGCCCTAAGTAAGCTAATATATGCTTAATTCCTGGATCCTTCTTTCCCAACTAAGGACTGCAGAGGCCTACTCCACATCAACTAAATGCAAATCAGTCACTTTTATTTTAAGCTAAGTCCTTCCCACTAGATTGGTGGGCTCTAACCCCACGAAAAATTAGTTAACAGCTAAACACCCTATA